GAGGTGGCTGGGGGCTGCAGGAGAGTGGGGGGGCTGGGTGCTACGTTTTGGGCTATTTGGTTGTGGTTGGGTGGGTAGGCTATGGGGCAGTGTGTTTGGGTGGTGTTGTAGGTATGGTGTATGTTTTATTTTACATATGACATGTTTGTGCATTATTTGGTACAGTGTTTTGAATTTGATTCACTCTCTCTATTGTTGTTATTGAGTGATGTTTGAGTTCTGGAAACTAACTTCAGAAATGGCAGCTTGGTAACTTCACTTGGATGGTATTATCTATGTTGTTTATGTTTTCTTTTTCTTCTTTAATTTGACAATGCCAATTGTGTCCCAAGTTCCCAACATCATTGGTGGGTATTAGGTTAATATATATGTGGAGTGTTTTGTTTTTATTTAGGTGTGTAAATCTAATAATATGCTTTCTTGTTACTCTTTTTGTTTTGGTACAACCCTTCTATGATATGTTTGAATGTTATAACTTTGAATATGCATGTAATGATATCCACCAAACCAGATATCTCACAAGCACCAGACCAGATATGCAGTTTGCTGTTAATTATGTGTGTTAGCGCATGCATGCACCTACGGAATAGGATTTTCAATCACTAAAAAGGATATTGTGTTATGTCAAAGGGACTATTAATAAGGGCTTGGTGTTTTGGCGAGGCCCACAAACTTTACAAGCATACTCTGATTCAAATTGGGCAAATGACATGACAGATGGACGTTCCATTACTGGTTACTTGGTATACTTGGGTCAAAATCTTGTTTCATTGAGCACTGGGAAGCAGAGCAGAGTGTCCAGATCATCTACCGAGGCCGAGTGCAAAGCACTCTCAACCGCTGCAACTTAAGTCATTTGGCTCTCCTACCTATTTGATGTTCTGAAGATCAAACTTCCTCCTCCTCATCTCTTCGGTGATAATCAGTCAGCCATATTTCTCACAAGGAATCTCGTGTTTTACAAAAGAATGAAGCATGTCAACATTGATTGTCACTTTGTTCACGAACAGGTGACTACTAACTTGATGACGGTGTCTTACGTTCCTTCAACTGATGGGTTAGCTGATCGATCTCCGCACAAAAGCACTACCTTCCCCACACTACACGACTCTGGTGTCCAAGCTTCCTCTCATTTCACGGTGTTCAGCTTGAGAGGAAGATATTAGACAATTATAGTAATTATATATTTATGGTAATATTTTGTTAAGGTAAGATTCTTGTATTAGGTAAATTCTATACTAGGTTGAGTCCTATTTCTGTTAGGATCTCTCCGTACTATTATTCAATTCTTCAACAATTACTCTTGGTTAAAACAAACCACTTAAGAAAATATGAAAAATAGACACTATAAATGGTAAGATGTATTATATATTTATATGCATATATTATTAATCAAAATTTATTAATAGAGGCACCAAGCTAGGGATAGAAAAAATTACAATACAAGTACACAAGGTATATATATTCAAAGAAAAAAGAACCCTAGACTATTCTTTTGCCTTTGTTCCGAAATTAGATTCATGCCCGTGCGTTGCACGGAAAACAATTTGTTGCAACATAAATAATGCAATATAGTTGAGTTATCAAATTGACTATAAATAAGTATAAGTGAATGATATGTATTGAGATTTACAAAATATTTAGTTTTTTGTTACATTCCAAAATTGGGTACAAACCATAAAATCACACATGGATATAATGCTTACATAGGAAGTTGTTAAATTTGTTATGAACGGAGTGTTGGCAACATTGCAATTAGACTTTGAGCGAATAGAGTGTTCATTATATGTTGGATAAAATTGTTTGTTAATATGACACAATATAACTATAATTATTGGATTCGTTCAATATAATTTTTTATTTCTAATTGTTCTTAAATAAAGGTTTTATTCCTTTTGAAAATGAATGATCCACATTAATTCTCTTTAATCCACATAAATCAAGGCCAATTTTTTTCAACTTTAATTAAACAACGTGAAAAATTAGGTATCATAATGTAAATTTATTAAGGAAAAATAATCTAGAATAATCCTAATTTTACACAATCTCAAAAATAATCTCATATTTCATTGTGATGCATAATAATCCCAACTTTACTGAAACGACGGGTTAATAAAAATGATCTGTTTTGCGCAACAAAATGAAAGTTGAGATTATTTTTTATGAATTTTCCTTTTTAATTTCTTTTTGAAATTTTTGTTTAAAATTATAAAATAACTTTCTACCTCCATCATTTCATTTTCTTTTTTAAAAGATTAGTATTAGCTTACAAAAAAATTAAAAAATAGATATCAAAATAATGAAAATGAGAAAAATAACTAAAATCATGCAAATTTAATGAAATAAATAAGGTAATCAATAGAAACTAACCTGAAATTGGTAAGAAATAAAATAAAAATATACGGAGTGATGAGTTTTAACATTTTACGCACCATAGAGAACATTAATGCACAACTTCTTTTTATTTTTAAAGAAAAATTGTCTAGAATAATCCCAACTTTATCTGTTTTTTCAAAAAATAAGGAATGGTAAATTAATATCCTCGATTGTGCGTAAAATGTCTCCACTCATATTTTTATGTTATTTCTTACCAATTTGAGTTTAATTTCTATTGATTATCCTATTTATTTCATTAATTTTGTATGACTTTAGTTATTTTTCCTATTTTTGTTATTTTTATATCTATTTTTTATATTTCTAAGGCAATACTTATTTTTAAAAAATGAAAAAGAAATGAAGAAAGAAATTCATTTTTGAAATTTAAATGAAAATTTCAAAAAAAGTAAAAAATGAAAATTTATCAAAAATATTCCCAACTTCCATTTTCTACGCAAAATAGGTTATTTCTGTTAACACGCGTTGGCAATTTAACGGTGACCCAAAACTTGCAAATTTTAGTAGAATCAAAATTATTATGAATCACAGTGCAAAGTGAAATTATTTTTAAGAGACTGGGTAAAGTTTGGATTATTCTGGATAATTTTTCCATTTATTAAAATTAGGTTAATTTTAAAATGTAGTTTTGGTATATTTAACTTTTATAACATTTAATTATTAAAAATTATATAGTATTTTATTTTTTAAAATAAATATTAAAAGTATTTTTAGTTATAATGTAAATCTAGTAATATTAAAATATATTTAGTTATAATGTAAATTTAGTACAATTAAATTTATTTTAAAATATAATTTTGAAAAATAATTTTTTTTTAATACTACCTCCGTCCCAGAGTATTTGTCCACTTTCATTTTCACACACCATCCAATACACTTCTTTAATCCATTTTATCTTGTAATTTGTATATTAAAAAATTATAGAAATTATATATTAATAATCTATATGTTAAGACAAATCAAACATGATCACACATGACTATATTTAGGCTTACACATTGAGAAAATTTGATGAGTTAAAGTGATTAGATGGACAGTTGCAAAAGTCAAAACTGGACGAATACTCCGAGACGAAGGGAGTACTTAATTATTTTAATTTGTATTTATTTCATGATCAAAATATGTCATAATTTAACTAAAAATCAAATTGGTTCAATATTTGGGTACTAAAAACTAAAAAGTCTGCGCTAACTCTGCCAGGATACTCGAACCAGGATCTGCGCTCCATCGCGGCTACGCCTTGCCGCCGCTAACTCTGCCAGAGTCTGCGCACCATCGCGGCTACGGCTTGCCGCCACTAACTCCGCCATCAACCTAACTGCCATTCCAACTTCTACAGGTATCTATACTATGATAGATTTGAAATTTTAAATGTTTAATGTTTTAAATCTTTAATAGATTAATTTATTGTTGTTTCCAACTAATAATTGATGAAAATTGCATTTTAATTGTTCTTTCATCTATGGATTCTTATTTTGAATGGTTTTTATGTGTTCAATTAAGAGAAAGTTTTTCTCAATTTTGAAAAACAGAAAAAGAAAATGAATTTTGTACGACTAATGGAGTAATTTTGTATAGTCATAGTCAAATCGATTTAGCAAGGGTTGAATTCTCTAGTATCCCTGATTTCTTGATTCACCTATGCATGAGAATACTCTGCATTCTATATTACATGGTATCTGCATAGAAAAATTTCTCCTTTCAACAGCAATGCTTGATTTTCTACATTCTTTAAGGCCCCGTTTGGTACACGGAATTCAAATTATGGAATTGGAATTGAGGACATCAATTCTAATTTTGGTGTTTCATAGCACAAAAATTATGTGGATTTGGAATTGATAGTGCAAAAAATGAATTGGAATTGGCAGAATTCAATTCTATGGAATTGAATCCCATGGAATTTCAATTCTAACTCAATTCCAATTCCATCAATTCCGTATACCAAACGGACCCTAAGAGTAATGCTAGATTTACAAACAAAACAATCACAAAAGGCACAAACTTACTATTTGTGTATTTAAGTTTTCATTTTTTACGGTAATTATTTGAGACAATTATTTAAAACCATTACTTTATATAAAATGAGAGGGATTTGGTTTTCCCTCCACCTTAGTGTATTTTTCCTTCTCATTTTCTTTTCCTTTCACTTCTCCTTTCTTTTCTTCATTAACCAAACAAAAAAAACTGTTCTCCACTTCATTTTCTTTTCTTCTCTTTCAAATTCCTTGAACCAAACATAATGTAAATTAAATTTATACTTGATTTTTTGATAATCTAGAAATACCTAATTAAATATTACTCCGTAGGACAATATGATTTATGATTTGTTAAAGATATAATTAATTTGAGTATGATTTATGAATTGTCAGAGATATGATTTTTTTAGTATGATATATGAATAGTGTAGGTGAAAGATTGGATATTTTGATTCGTGATAGTTGGACAGATTTTGGATATGGCCAGTTTAGACCATGTGAAATTGTTTTATTTGGGTCAGAACTTAGATGCCTTTAGAATGATTTGGAAAAGGTAGTATGGATCATTTTAAAATGTTTGGCATCAGAGATAGTGAAAGGGTGATGTTTGTTAGACTTTTTATTTTTTATTTAAAAAATCTGTGTTTTGGCTGATGCCCAAGGGTTTAGTGAATTCACTTGAAAGAAAATTTCAGCTTCAACTCGTTTAAAGACATGAATTATTTTAATCATGTCATGTAGATTCGAAAAATTTAAGACATCATTTAATGGTTTCTGTAAAAATCTAATTGGGTGAAAGCTGAGCTCTTTTATTTGTTGTGGCATCCCTTGAAATCTGTTTCTGGTGTTTAGGGAAACGTAAAAGAAAAATGGTGCTAGCGTAAGTTTGATGAATTCATGGTGCATCATTTTATTAGCAAAAACTACATAGTATAAATATGTAAGTTTTTGAGTAAAGGTTTTTATTATTTGTGCAACTCTTCTCTTTCACCAAAACTGGAATTTAAGCCCTAATCTGTTAAATGCAATGGGGACATGATGTTTTTTAATCACTTCCTTACATTGAAATCTTCTTTTGGTACTAATTTATGTATTCCTTCATTTAGGGCGTGCGGTTGAAACATGATTTTGAATAGCTCTGCTCATAAATCCCACTATGACATTCTAGGTGTTAAGGAAGATGCAAGTTACGAAGACATTCGAACAGTTTATCGATCTGCCATCCTCACCTTCCACCCAGACAAACTGCATGACAATAGCTCTTCATCAAAACCATCTCACCATTCTAAGCACGAAGTGACTAAGAATGCATTTCTTGACATACAAAAGGCATGGGAAATCCTTAGCGACCAAAGATCACGTGCTGCCTATGACATTGAGTTGCGTGCCACGAGACAAGACGCGGCAACTGCTGAAGATGTGGGGTTTGATGATCTCAAAATAGAAGCGAGTGGTGGGGATGATGACGGGGTTTTTGCGCTGTCTTACCCTTGTAGGTGTGGCGACTTTTATGTGATTGATTCTTTGGATTTGACAAACATGGGATATCCATTGGTGAAGGGTAGAAGGGAAATGTTCATTGAAACCTCCAAGGATTTACCAGTTTCAGTTGTTCTTCCATGTGGGTCCTGCTCTCTCAAGGTTCGCTTATTGATCAATCAAGACACTACTAGGCTGGCTTCCTCTTCTGGATGATATGCATTTTGTTCTGAGAATTTGAGAAGCTTTTTCTGTTTTTCCTCATTTCCTTCTCGAGTGCAGTGTATTTTTATGTATCATGTATACGCAATTTTTGCATTCTTCTTCATTTCCCATTTAATACTCCTTCCGTCCTAAATTACCCCGTATATGACATGTTTACTATTTACATAGTCAAATTTTATTTACTTTTTCTTCAACGGTTTTCAATATTTTTTTGATAATATAACATAGTAATATCATTTCTTGTTTTGAAGAACTTTGATGTAATTTTTAAATATGTAATTTTTATTTTTTAATAGAAAAGAAAACATCTTTGTGGGACAAAGAAAAATGAAAGGGGAACTTCTTTCAGCGACGGATGGAGTATTACTTTAAGCTTTTTAATTTAGAAATTCTATTTTTATTTTTCATTTAAATATTTTAATATTACCATTTTGTATTTATGTACTCCCTTCGTCCCTATTTATATTATCTTTTTTGGTTTACGATGTTTGACTAAATTATTTTCAAAACATTTTATATGAAAAATAATATGGAATTAAAAAATAAAAATTACATATTAAAAATATTAAATCGAAAGATCTAGAAAACTAGTTGTGACATTATTATATTTTTTTATCAAATGACTAATGAAAATAAAGAAAGAATGTTAATGAAATTTGACCATGTGAATAGTAAACACGTAATTTAATTTAAGACGGATGGAGTAGCATTTGATTGATTTATTTGTTTAATTTAAATTAATTTTTTTACGTTACAAGTAACACTAATTTCAATTTTGATGTCTCCAAACATACTCCACTAAATCCGTTTTAGGTTGAGTGTCTCGATTGCAGATTTTGGAGCATCTTGTGATTTGTGCGTTATTGGTGATCTCTTCAACGTCAATATTGCCCGGCTCGTAGTTTGCATGAATAACTATCCTCTTACCCTGGAGTATTATTTATAATCATATTACGCGTGCCAATATACGCGTGTTTATTATATTTGATATTTTTTTGTAAACATATAATCATATGATGTAAAATGGTACATGTATAGTAGATTTCTTAAACATAGAATACATGTCATTTTAGCAAACAAATAGTATTTTGCCTACCAATTTCTTAACAACTTAACAAACTATGTTATGTAAATTGTACCTATTCAATTATTTATCACTATATTTCATTATTTTAACAATTTTATAATAAAAAATACTACTTATATAAGTTACCTATTTACCATTCACAGGATCAAAACTAATTCACTTTATTTCCTTATTTTTGTTAGTCATTTGATAAAATAATATAATCATGTCAATACTACTTTTGAAGATCTTTTGATGTAACTTTTAAATATGTAATTTTTATTTTTTTAATTATATCCCGTTTTTCATATAAAATGATTTGAAAAAATAACTTCAATCCAACATCGTAAACCAAAACAGACAATTCAATTTGAGGAGGGAGTATTTATTTTATACTTTTATCGGTGTAAAATAAAAAATACTCTTATAATTAATAAGTATGTTAAAATAGCAAGTATTTGTTATAAATAGCAATTGGGTTAGTTAAAATAAGGAAAAATTGTATCAAATAATCCCACCTTTTCGCGCTCTTTCAAAAATAATCCCACTTTTCACTGTCAACGGAAATAATCCCACCTTTTCGCATGTGTGCGAGTTTTGGGTCACCGTTAAAAAACTAACGGCCACTTAACGGAAGTTTTTGAAAATGCCTGTTTTTTGCAAATAAATGAAAGGTGGGATTATTTTAGAAAAATTTACTTTTAACTTTTTTCAGTTTTGAATTTAAAATTAATATTTTTTAAAAATATAACAATACACTCTTGTTAGAGATTTGTCTAACGATTAACAAATTTTGTAGTGATTTATAAAATTTATGGGTTCCGTTTCGGAGAAAAAAATAGTGTCATTTTCACAACTTTTGAATTACTATTTTGGGGAAAAATTTGTATTGAATTATTAAAAAAATCACAAATTGGGTAGTTCCATTTTAGAAAGAAAATTTTATTGCAATATAAGATTATCAATAAAAATTTTAGAGTGTTTATGGAAAAATTGCAATACATCAGAAAATGTAGTAAGTTATAAAAATAAAAGTTCTATTTTAGAGAAAGAAATTGTTGTGTTATTTTCACAACTATTGTAATGTTGTTTCACAAAAAATATTTATATAGAACTATCGAAAAATATTCATAAGTTTTGTAGTGCCATTTTTTAAGAAATAATAATAATGTAGTATCAAAAAATAATTTGAAGTGCAGCTCAAGAAAAATACAGTAAATGCAACTTACAAAAAAATGTACTCCCTCCGTTATCAAAAACACTTCCTCTTTCATTTTTTTTCCTTCCAACAAAATACTTCCACTTTCTATTAAAAAACCACTTTTACCCTTACTTTTTCATACCCTACCTATCACATCATACTTTATCTCTAATAATCTATTCATCACATCTTACTTTTACCTATCACATCAAGGGCAAAATTAGAAGTCAACTACAATTTAATACTTCCTTATTTTTACACAAAGTCAAAAGAGGAACACTTTTTCCAAACGGAGGGAGTAGTTAGTTATGAAGTTAATAAATTAGCTTTATTGTGTAGAATAATTTATTTTCTAATTATTACCATATTATTGGTTATTGAAAAAAACAATTAGTTTCACTTTAAAAACACTTAAATTTGGTATTTTTTCCAAAAAAATAAAATAAAAATACATTTAAAGAAATTAAAAAACGAAAAAGGGAGAATTTACCTAAAATAATCCCACCTTTCATTTATTTGCAAAAAACGGGCATTTTTCAAAATTTCCGTTAAGTGACCGTTAGTTTTTTAACGGTGACCCAAAACTCGCACAAATGCGAAAAGGTTGGATTATTTTCGGTGACAGTGAAAAGTGAGATTATTTTGGAAAAAGCGCGAAAAGGTGGGATTATTTGAGATAATTTTTCCTTAAAATAACAATGCTGCAAAAGTTCAACTCTTTCTTTGGATGAACATAATTAAAACTAAATTCCAAAAGAATATGCAAAAAATGCTTATAAGAGTAGTAAGCATTTGCTTACAAGGTCCACCTAAAATGATGTGGACCTTAGGTCCATGAAAGAAACATTCTCCAAAAACGGAAAATGCAAGCTTAATTGCAGGATGGGTGGAGCAAACATTTCCAACATCAAAAAGTCCGGCTAACATTAATCTGGGAAAAAAAGTATTCATAGATGTGAAAATATCCGCTCATTATTATCCTTTTGCTTAGAATTTTAAAGAAGCTGATTGAAACAGAACAAACTACAGCGCAACCAGCAAGCTCAAAAACTAAACGGGGACATTATTATATATAAAAGGGGGGGGGGGTATAGATCAACATGTGCAGATTTACGCCCTTTGCTCGACATAAGAACCAGCAAGCCCAGACGTCCCAAGAACCGTAACCTACAAAGTATGAAGCAATGCCAGGAATTAAGAATCCTACTAAAGCTGATACTCTATGATGCCAATTCATATTACCAGAAGAAAACATACATGGGCAGCCCTCCTTTTTTTAGTTTAGGATGCGTTTAGTTGTTGTGGTGTGTGTGGGGGGTGGGGTGGGGGGGGGTCCTATGATCGGTATAATCACTTCTCAACCCATCCTCCAACAAACCAAACAAGGTAACGTTAAAAGCCCTTCCCTCTGCTAACAAATACACCCTCAAATGCCTAAAACTAAATCTCATTAAAATTTCTTTTAGCCCCCTTGCCAACAAAGCTAAAAAGTCATATTTGACAATGCTTTAGCTTCAGGCGATAATCGATTAAATCAAAATGGCATTAAACTCCCTTCTGCTTCTTGCTTTCTACGAAGCTTTGGGCCATCAATGCATCAAAGGTCTCATGGAAACGACCTCTCAGGGAGTCAGGGGTAAGGTTGCATACAGGTTGACTGGTTGACCCCCCAAGACCCAATGCATCAACTCTCTACTAGGATTGTTGTTAATATTAACTTTAAATGTCCGAAAACACTGGTTTTTTGGGTTGAAAACTATACCTTGTACAAGTCAATATTCAGAAATTCAATGCCAAACTCAAGAGAGAACTACAACATTATTTTGAATATATTGCTGATGTGAAATGAGTTTAGTGTTAAAATGAAGCTTACCTTTCCCCAGTCAGATCCTAGGCCACTGCACCTCATCTTCAAGAATATCATCCTGCTTCCCAGTTCAGTCTCAACTTTCTTCTTTAAATATCCCTCCTCCGGCCCAAAGGCATCCAAATATGAATTATAACGTTGGAATATTGTATTCACTGCATTAGCTATATCTCTTGGGATAGGCTTCACATTCTGTCACATATAGATACAATCAGCATGCAAACACACAAGAATGCATACGTATGCATACAAAGCATTTTCTACGCCCTTCATCGCCGAAAAGTCATGTTTCATAAAGATACAACTTTTTAACTACGGTAATGTATGACTCTTTTAAATCATCCATCTTGCTTATATTTTAAAACCATCTGTTTGTAGAAAAATATTTTTTCATTTTCGATCAGGGGACCCCACTTAAGAGACTATACTTTATTGTTGATGTTTTTACATGGAGGGAACATCTTAAAGCTCTTTTTACCTCACCACTTGATCCAATGGCATCATCAATTGCCATTTTCAAGTTCATTATTATCCCAATGAACTCTTCAATGGCTTCTGCTGCGCGAAAAACATTAGCCAGGGCCTTCTGGCCAGGCTTGTCATCAGTACTTTTGGACAATGCCTTGTTTGTTTCATCAATAACAGCTTTTGGTATTCCATCCCAGCTTGCTGCCATTAAGTCTTTAAAAGCACACTTGATTTCTTCATCGTGCAGACTTGGCATGTGTGTCACATGCTCACTGAAGGAACGTACACTTCCCAATTCAAATGCAAATGGATGACGATATTCTACACCAAGTAAACCAAAAGTGTAGATACAGTAAAAAAACATATTGGTGGGGAACTAGATAATATAGAAAATATTCAAGTATCCTGCAAAATATATTTACTTAAAAAGGTATCCACAATCCCTTTCTGGGAAGCTAATTGTGGAACTGGACACAGTCCTACCTTTGTTTGGGGTATCTTGCTTGTGATTTGTCAGGAAAGGATGGGTTGAAAGGTTGGGGATGGGAACAAGATCAGCATATGGGAGGATCATTACCTAATGGACAACCCTAACCAGTGCTCAAGGAGACAATTAGTACGATCTAGTTTGTGGCTGATTTAATTACGCATGGGTTGTGGAACATGGATAGAATTGTGCTTGCTTCGATGAAAGAGATGAGTTATGCTGTATCAATCTCTTTGGCGGAAAAGTAGAGAAGATATGCAGATTCGGACACTGGAAAAGACTGGCTGCTAATTTGACAAGAGTGCCTACAAGCTCTTGACATGGAATGAAGATCAAAATTCAAAATAATTTGGGGGATGACGGACATATGTGAAAGAAATTCTAGTGCTTAAACAGCCTGCCAAAGGTGATTTGTGTGCCAGTAATAATGCAACTCCATGTCTAACTCAGCTGGGTAAGAAACAAGTATGTGTAGCCACTGTTTGCTTGTTGTGCAATGGGGAAGAGGAAACAATTATTCATCTAGCCAGCCAATGTTCATATCCCATATTTAGGGGTGGAAACTCGAATGACTCGTCGAGGGCCCTTCGCTAAGCTCATTCAAGGCCTTGTCAGGCTTGGCCTTGCAGTTCAAAAAAGGCCAAGACTGTTCACAAAGTCTCTTTAACAAAAAAGGCCAGACACTGCTTATTTCCTTTTAGAGCATGTCCAATCGTGAGTCCCAAGAGAGTCCCAAGTCCCATTTTCAGTGGGACCAGAACGGGCCTCAAATGCTAGGAATGAGACTTTAAAAGATGTTGGACTCCCCTCTTCAATGAAGAGTTCCATTTGAAATCCCACTGGTTTGAATAAACAAAGAAATAACGAGAGAAGGAATGAGTTGGGACGGTCCCTAGATAGTGGGATGGTCCCATCATTTCGTTTTTCATGCAATGCCATTGTATCATAAATGAGTTCTACTTACATGCAAACTAGGAGAGAGATTGAGTTGGGACTAGCATTGGAGATGTTCTTAGGCATACTAAGCCGGCGTATTTGTTAAGTTGTTAGAAAATAGTGCTTCTTTGGTTTTACTTTGTAGATTTTGTGGAATCTAACTTAAATGCAATGCAAGTTTATCAAATGAAAATTAAAGTTATGAATCATAAGACCCTTTCTTCAAAACACAAATTGTATCGTGTTATTAAGCATAAAATAAAGAATAACAAAAACATAGTATGCTTTTGCAAAAATGTGTCATAATAAAAAATGCATGAGTTGATATATCATAGGGAGCATTAGGTATTTGACCTTCAACATATGACATGCAGACGACATACACTAACATTTACCTTTGTTCAACCAAGGTGATGTTCCCTTCTTGCACTACTTCTATTAAATATCTTAAAATAGTAGAATTTTTTTTAATTCCCAACATAAATTCTCCCTCACATCTTATAAAACAATCATTTTTCTTAAAAATACTACATCTGTCTCCAAAACAAAATCTCATTTACAATTACAAGGTCAAAGTAATTCTTTTTTCCTTAAGTATTTTCATTGATTGTTTGATAAAATGACATAATTATGTCACCTTTTGTTTCGTAGAACTATTGACGTAGTTTTTAAAGATATATTATTATTTTGGGGAAATTGGACAGAAACATCACCAAGTATGGGTGATTAGACGAAAAAACTACAAACTATGAAACTGGCCAAAAGATTACCATCACCTATGTTGACCAGAAACAATATACATGTCGTTGGAATACGAAAATCTGTATAAACATACTGGAGTGTTTCTGTTCAATCTTTCAATGTTGGTAGTAAATCTGTCTAATCTAACCAAACATCTCATAAAAAGTAGGATCTTAGGAGTGTATGCAGACCATTACCCCTGCTCATAAATATAGAGGTTGCCAAGAGACCCCAGCTCAAGCATAGACAAAGTAAAAGAACAAAGTAGACAGAAAAACAAAAGCGAAAGAGCAAAGAGCAAAATGAGGGAAATGTAAGAGCACATAAACATGAAACACAAAAACCAACACTACCAACATGACAATAAGCACACACACAAGTAAAAATGCACCTGCAAAAACTACAACTAAGGTCAAATACCTAATGCTCCCTATGATATATCCCAATTCCCAAAGGTTCATTTCGTTCAACTTATATTTCTGCTTATTACTTATTAAAGTGAGATCAAATCTAATAAGATCAGATCCAATAAGATCAAATCATATCAAAAACTTTAAATATAACTACAAACCTATGTTGCACGGAAACTCCATATAGGCTTCCGTACCCGTTTCGGACACCTTGGACACGCCGACACGCCACGGACCGCCAGGAGACGTTTCGGAAACTCCACATGGCGTTTCTGTAATTTTAATTTAAAAAAGGGGGGAAAAATGCCTAAGACACGGCTGGGACACGCGTGTCTCTTTTGGGAAACGCCATGGACACCTCTTTTTAAAAAATGGGGTTCTTTTTATAAATTTTAAAAGTTTTGGAACTTACTCAAATTATAGAAAGTTTTATGTGGCCCTAAATCCCCATCACTCCTCTATGTTACGTCGTTATCTCATATTCACCCAACAGCAATCGACCACAGCCCTCGAAGAAGCTTACGTAGCTGGTTCGATGAACTGTCGCCAACTACTCGCCACAAAGGGAGAAGACTTCTCTCCAAATAAGCTTCTCGCCGACAAAGGGAGAAGCTTACGCCACTGGTCAAGTGACTTCTAGATTGGAAAATTTCAAAGATACGATTCATATACTTCTTCTTCCAAACTTACTTGTTGAAAATCAGTATGTTGGTTCATCCCTAAAAATACAGTTAAAAATGTCATATATATATATATATTTATTTATATATATATATAAAATTTATATATAGAAATTTCGTGTTTCCCCGGCGTTTCGTCTCTTCATTTTTTCAAAATAGCCGTTTCGGCGTGTCCGTTTCATTTTGTCTCCGTCGCCGTCTCCATTTCAGTGCTACATAGCTACAAACAGCTCAGATTAGACCACCAACTCTAATCAGATAAGATCAGGCCAGATCTTCAAAAAATCTAATCAGATCAGGACAACAAAATGCAACCTAAATCTCCATGCACTCATATCTAAGGCCATATCCTCAATAAGAACTTGAAGTCTTAAGACTTATCCAATCACCTCCTTCCAACTCTTCTTAGGTCTACCTCTACCCCTTCTCCCACCTAGTACTGTAGGCCTTTTGCATCCCTGCACTCCGCACTAGGCCTCTACACTTATCCACTCCACGTGTCCAACTACATCAGCCCGTTACTCTGGCTTCTTGAAGCTTATCCTCCACAGGTGTCATTCCCACCTGTCCACGAATAACCTTGTATGCCCCTTTTTCGCCTACTACTGTAAGCCTTTCGCATCTCCGCACAATGCGCTGGGCCTCTACACTTATTCGCTTAACGTGCCCAACTACATCAGCGTGTTACCCTAGCTTCTCGCAGCTTATCCTCCATAGGTGTCATTCCCACCTTTCCTTGAATAACCTTATATGCCCCTTTTTTAACGTTATCTATATTCTTTTTTGGTAGAAAGTTACACTAATGATAAACATTAGTCCTTTACAAGTCTGTGGCGCATGAAAATATTTTTTTAAAAAGATCTAAAATGGTCTATGAATATTAAAATTCATCAAATATGGATTCAGTATTAATAATATTTTTACAAATTCGCGAAATGTTATTTTTAATAAAATATTATTTTATCACAATCAAATGTGAATTTCCATATTGTTTTTCATCATCTTTGATGAATCCAAAGATTCACTATTTTTTAGGCTTTGGGATATGATGAACTAAAGCAAAATGACTCTTTAAACTATTTGCGGTTCTTTTAATACTGAAGTAACAATTAGTTAATGAAACGTGACACTCATTATGGGTCATCAGGAAACAACCACTCTATGTTTTAAAAACAAGGGTCAGGCTGCATACGTGATTACCTATAGTGCTTGAGCTGGGGTCTCTTTTGGAAATAACCTCTCAACATTTGAATAAGGGTAATGTTGGCGTAGACACACCCTCCCAAACTCTACCTTTTGGGATTTAACATGTTTGTTGCTGTTTGTTTGTTTGTATATGTGAATTTCTTATATCTAACACAAATTATATAAATCTTAAAATTCATAAACGAATTTTGGATCTGTATCTTTTTTTGCATGGATATCTCATGTGTAAAAAAATAATAATTTTTCCATTGGCAAAATTTCTTAATGATGAGGAAAAATATAAATGCAATTAAATATACTAATGGGGGACACATATTTTTTGTGGGGGCAAGATTGAACAAATATACAACCAACGATGAAAGATTGAACAAAAACACTTGTAAATTTATATGAATCCCATTTATACAAATTTTCATATTTCAGTGACATTGATATTGTTTTTGAGAGGTGAAAATGTGAAATTGGTAGTGTTTTGACCAATTTCACAATTTATAGTGTTTGTGTCCAATCAACCATACTTGATGGTGTTTCAATCTAATTTCCCTTTTTATTTCTATACTAATTTTCAAAATAAAAGGAATTCAATTTTTTAGTTAATCATCGTACAAATTCTTTTTTTTGAGACAGAGGGACTGATGGAGCAATAATTTTCAACCCACTTTTCAACCACTCCTAAAACTCATGGCATTTTCACATGAAAAGTTATTATTAGGAAGGAGGGAATAAACCAAACAGGAAATGAAGTTGTTGATCAAATATTTCCAATTGCATCAATGACTAATCTGCATTCAGGCTTCAAAATTCAGAACTTCAAAACACAAAATGAAAAAAAAGGGAGACACAAACATAGTAAAAAAAGAATCTCACGGAGCTTATCAGTCACCTACACCGCTACACAGAAGAAGAAAATTGTGTCAGGACTAAGATAATTAACATTGGCTGCAACTATGTCGCTCCCACGAAAGAGCTTGGAAACACCATCCCTAAGATCCTTCTAGGTCGATCTGCTCTGCTAATGCAAAAATTTAAACTGTGCAATTCAAAGATTGAACTTCAATTCTTAGGATTTGGTACAAACTGTTAGGGTAGTTTTGTCGTATCTCAATTTGTGTCTTATGAATTGTAAAATATTAAACTATAGAGCTACAATGATGTAAACTTTATCATGTACAATAACAACAAACACATTAAAATCCAACAAAAGTTAGGTTTACAAAGGGTGTGTGTACGTACACATTACCTCTACTCGAATCTAGAAAGGATATTTCCAGAAGACCCCGGCTCAATGATATAAACATCATCGTGTATTATGAAAAATTAGTTTAATTACGTATTTTCAGAAATTAGACGTACAATTTAAAAATTGTGAAGATTCCATGCTTCTCAACCGGCCTCAAGTGAGGCCAGGCTTTTGAACAGGCCAGCCTCCGCCAAAAAAAGGCCTCCTGGTCAAATGCCAGGATCAATAATTATATATTCAAAACAGGTCATGCCTCTTTACCTGAGGGAACTCTAAGCGAGTCGTGTTTGGAGTTTCCCCTGTTTAGGATGTTTTAATTTAGCGTGGGGACCCTTTGCAATTCAAATGATTGCACACTAGCTTTCATGGTGTGTTGGACCATATGGAATGCTAGAAATGAGGTTTTGTGGATTGTAGACCAATTTTAGATAAACACAAACTTCTTTTTAAAAAGAAAAGAGAAAAATCACAATGTACAATGCCTACAGATACGTGAAGATATAAAATACATCACTTATAAGCGTAAAATTACTAAAGTGATGAAACTGAGTGTCAATCTAATCTCAATACGTACAAACTTATGTAGCGAAGAGTATATAACAAGATGATTGTGAAGGGAATACCTGGAAGAACAAATTCTGGTGAAGCCAGCAAAAAAAGTAGAAAAGAAGGAAAAAAATTGGTTTTAAAATTTAATTTTGCAATATCAAACTTTTCGTATTTTAGGCAAGAACTCATGTTTCAATCTAATCTAAAGGCACTATTTGTATTTCCCTGTCTCCCTTTGCTGTCATTTCCTACCCATTGGATATGGGTCCCAGCATAAAAGGATAATATGGATCAGGGTTCGAGTGGATTCAGCCTATATCCTGCCCATTGCCATCCCTACTAAGCAACAAGGTAACATAGAGAAGTGAGTGTTCAGAGACATTATAAACCAAATTCCAAAGAGATGAGATGGGGAAGAAACTGATGGTTATGAAAGCACACGCATGGAGAAGAGGAAGTGTCATCACAAACTCATTGATAATAAACACTAAATCTTCTGACTTCAGATTCTCGTCCGTTCCGAATTGGTAATGATTCATTAAAATTTTACTCATTTCTAGATCAACACAAACTTCATCTTTTTAAAAAGGACAAGTGACAAATCCCAAAGTCCTATGTCTACAGATACGCAAAGATATAAATTATATCCCTTATAAGTGTAATCAGATACAATTCAGCATCAATCTAAACTCAATACATTCACACATGTATGAACTTATGTAAAGAAGAGTTTGTACAGAGATGATTGCAGGAGGGAATGAATACCTGGAAGAACAGATTCCGGTGAAGCCAGCGAAGAAGGAGAAAAGTGAAGGTGGCGGAAGGTGTGGTGGTTGACAGCGTCTGCGACGGCGACGGCGGTGTAAGAGGAGAAAACGGAAGATCTGCGGTAAAAACATCTGAATAGCAGCGATCTCGTGGGCATCGTTGTTGCCATATCTCCTAACGAACTGCACTCTCTTTTACTTTGATTTCAGAAGTCAGATGGTATATAGATTCAGCTCGCGTAAAGGGGGCAGGCCGTGTGTGCCGGGTAGAGGTAGCAATAGGATGTACTGGATCTGTTTCGGGTTGGATTTTTTCAGTTCGGATATCTTTCGGTTATATGTTATAATCGATTCGATTCGGATCGAATCGGTTAAATTTCAGTTCGGATTTGATTCGGTTTGGTTCGGTTTCGAATCAGTTCAGATACGGTTCGGTTATAAATTGTTTCGGATAGATTTCAGTTCGGATACAATTTGAGTCGGATATATTTCAGTTTCGGGTCTAGTTCGGTTCGGATATATTTTGATTTCGGATCAAATATATTTTGGATATATATTATTTTCTAATTGAAATTTAACTATCCATATTTCTTTTTATGTTTATCACATTTATCTATCATCAATTCAATACCTCATATTATTTTATATATTTTTCTAATTATATTATCTCTAAGCTAAATAATCTTCCCTTTTTGACTTTTTAGTCATATTTTACAAATTTGGACTATAAATTGTGAAAACATATATATTTAATTATGATATAAATTTAATATAATTAAATTGATTTTAAAATTTAATTTTGCAATATCAAACTTTTCTCACAACTACTAATATACTTATGTTTATAAATGAAAGATATATTCAAATAGTGTTATGTTCCATTTGAATATAATTTGGTAAAAAATTGAGTAAAATTAGGTAAAATTAAGTGAATTTTATTCAATTGAGTGCGAAATTTATAAATTATTTAGTGTATTTTGTTGAAAATAGATTAAATTAAATTTAATAGAGTCAAATATAATTAATTTTACACTTAAATGTATGGTGTAGATCAAATTTGAAAATGATAACACTAGCATCTAATTTTATTGACTAATATTGAGTGAATTGATTTGAAACTAATCAAATTAACTCTCAAATCAATAAAATTTATTATAATGGGATGAAATCAAGATAAAATCTAGTTATTCCATACAATTCATCATATAATTCTTTCGTCTCAAACGGAATATCACACTTCACTATTTAAAAATTGCGGAAATTTTATTTGTTTGTGCATTATCATTTATATGTATAACTTATCTTTAATTTCTACATATAATAAATTTAAGGAATGAAATTTTGTACTTTTTTTCAAGAAGATAATCCATTTTATGAAAGAATGAGCAAGTAACGTAATTAGTTCAAATGGTAAAATAAAAGTAAAAATATAAAAAAATAATATGCTTATTGAAAGGAAAACATAGTTCCAAATTTATCGATGTAGGTTCTAACCGGTTTCGGATCTAATCGGTTTCGGATCTAATCAGTTTTGGGTTTTATCAGTTTCGGGTATTATCGGTTTCGGATCTAATCGGTTTTGGGTTTAATCGGTTCGGATATTATCGGTTTCGGATCTAATCGGTTTCGGATTTAAATCGGATATGAATTATTTAGTTTGGTTTCGGTTCGATTCAGATCATTTCGGGTTTTCGGTTAGAGATCAGATCTTCATTTTTCGGGTCATTTCGGTTTTGGTTTCGGATATTTTGGTTCGGGTAATCGGTTCCGGTTCTGTTTTGCCAGGTCTAGTGCCGGGTAAATTTTCATTTTCTAACAAAATATCTACGGGAATATTTTAGGATATGTTATGAAAATAATGATGGTTCATTTATTTAATTAATCAGATTTAATAGTAGATTAAAACACCCATTGTACAATATTATTTTTATACAGTCCTTTCCACTTATATTTGTATTCATACTAAGCTTCTCTATTATAAATATAGGCTTAATATCCCTACACAGACATCATTAAGATTAAGATCAATACAATTCAGAAACATATCTCTCTATTATCTTTGAGTATTTTTCTCTCATTTCTTAATACGTTATCAGTACGAGTTTGCTCGTAATCTCTGAAATCTTGTTCTTCTCAAAAGATATGGAGATAACTGCTTATGGCTCCAATGCCAAAGAACAATGTCTAATAGACAGTCGCCACCACGCACACCATTTTGAGAAATAAAGAATATTTTTCTCAAATGACACTGTTGGAAACTAATTTCAATACAATCTCTGTTATTGCAAAGTTCATTAAAGGGTCTGGAATGACTTGTTTAATCCTTCCCCAAGGGATAAAATTAATCATCAAAGATGCATTATATTCCAGCAAATCCCGAAGAAATTTATTGAGCTTTAAAAATAGGGAGAAATACGAAAATAGCCATTTAATAGAACTTTAATACTCAAAATAGCAGTGCTATTAGTTTTTGAGATGAATTCTCTTTTTTGTCCTTAAATAAACACCTAAAATTGAATTCTTCTAATTAGGTTAAGAAAAAGGTTTTAGGGGCCAAACACAGTAGCCGAAACGCAGCAGCCGAACTCAAGCCTCACGCGATATTCCTTGGACGATTCCTCGTCACACTGCCGAACGGAGCAGCTTCCAGAAGGAGACCCAGGGTTTCATTGACAAGCGAAGATGTACTGGACGAGATCCCTCTAAGCAAAAGATTGGAGAAGATACAAGTATGCTTCGTTTTGGCAGTGAATTTGCTTCTAAAAAATTTTCTCTTACAAAATTTAGAAAAAGTTTTTTTTCCCTTAGGTTGGTAGTGGGGTTTTTGTTGAAGGTTCACTACAATGTGTGTTTTAATTTTCTGCAGTGTGTTTTTTGCTTCCCTTAGGTTCTATATAGTGTGTTTTAATTTTTAAGGTTGGCAGTGTTTTTTGATCAACGTAATAAATTTTTTTGGCTTTGTTGAACTCGTTTAGGATTTTTTGTGAATGTTAGACGTAATTCATTGGTTTTTTTTGGGTTTTCGTTTTTTGGGCTGCTACTGGCTACTTACGCTGTGAGGATGAAGAGGAGGCAAATTTTGGTTTGTTCTTTCTAAAAGAAATCTGCTACGTGCTAGCCTGATGGAATAAAGGGCTTTCCATCTGAAATTAAAAATTTTGTAATAACATCATTATTGGACCATTCCATATGTCCAATGGCTACAATTTAATTCTTTTTCACGTATGTGTTTCCCGTAACTGATTTTTTTCTTGGCGTTTTTGTTTGTGGATGTGTGTGTTTTTTTGGGGAGTGTCGTTTTTAAGGGTTTATGTTTTTGAAAGTTAGACGTAATTGATATTTTTTTTGGTTTTTTCTATTTTGGCAGAGTGTTTTTTGGGATTTTTCGTACTCCACTGAAAATAATTGTTTTTTAGTGTTTTTGGTTGTGTTTTTTATTGGGCAGTGTTGTGTTTAATTATTTCGCAACGGGTCTAGATATAAAGTATTCTATCCTAAATGAAAACAGTAGTTTTTTGGATTCCAAGTTACTAAAGTGATCAAACTGACAAAGTTTTTTTTTGGGTTTTTTGGATTCGGAGGTACAAAATAATTTTTTTTGGATTTTTGGATTCCAAAAAACATTTGTTGTCAGTGTGTTTTTTGGGTTTTTTGTTCTTTAGTGAAACGTATTTGTTTTTTTGGGTTTTGTCGTTTTTTGGCTGTGGATTGTTTTTGACTTTATGGGGTTTTTATTAAGGCAGTCGGGTTTTTTTTGAATTGTTGGCCATGTGTTTAAATTGTTGTTGGCAGTGTGGTTTTTGTGAAGTGATGGCAGTGGGTTTAGAAAAGGATAGAAGAATGATGAAAGAATTGAATTTCTCCATTGTTTGGCAATGAGTTTAAATTGTTGTTTTACATTGATTTTGAACTATTTGGCAGTGCATTTGAAATAACATCTATGTTAGTTGTTCTTGGTTTTTAATCACTGGATACATTCTTTTGGTTTATTTTTTGGTTTAATAAATTTTGGTTAAAGTTTGATTGATTCGGCTTAGTATAAGGGAAAATATATTTCTATGAACTATGCATTATATTGTTTTAATCTTTCAGTGGTACAAATTTCATCATGTAAGTGTTGTTAGATGGATTTGTGAAGCTTACCTTGATGCTTTATTGTTGTTGTAGGAAGCTGAAGTGGCCTCTAAAGGTGTTGTGCAAGATGGGAGGATTAACACGTATTGTAACGTGAATGAGGTTGCAAAACAGATAAAGAAAATTCTGACTACAGAAGAACTAGACAGATTCAGAGAATCTCCTTTTGGCGTTATATTAGATGTCGCAGAGTTTCCATGGATTAGTGCTCATTTACTTATTACTTTGGTCAGAAATTGTGATAGGCCATCTGGAGACGAAAGTAAAGAAGAAGTATTGACTTTTCGAGTTTATGGAAATGAAGTGAATTTGACGAAGGAACAATTTCATTTAATCATTGGTTTAAAGATGGGTGGTTACAGGGGGGATATGGATAATAAACATAGAGGAAGGTTTGCGTCAAGGTCTTCCCCGAACAAAAATCAGTGCAGCGCAGAAATATTTCCACAGTTTTTTTAAATTTTAAGCAAGGTACACCCGGGGCACTTACATGTGATGCGCTCAAGATGTCATTGGTTTATGCCTTGTCACATTCATTTTTAGGTAACTAGCTGACTGAAAATTTCGATGTGTTATATAAACTTAGTGGATAATATAGATGAGTTCAATAGTTTCCCATGGGGAGATGATGTGTGGTTAGACTTGGTTGATCATGTTCATCGATGCAAACTAAGCATTGAAAAGGGTGGAACTTCTCGTCCAACATTTGGGGGATACATGTTTGCACTTCAAATATGGGCATTTGAGACTTTCGCGTCACTTGCAAAGGTCGGGATGTGTATGCTGGTTCCTGGTAGAGAAGTGTGCATACCACGTTGTTTGAAGTGGAAGGTTTGTGCCAAGTTTAGTGCAGGGAAAGTGTCTGATGCACTATTCAAATCTGAGAAGGTACGTTTTAAGATTAAATATTTTTATTATTTTTTCATATGGCCTTGTAGAAGTATATTTATGTATTTTTTCAATTACAATTGTTGTTGAATCCAACCGTGCCTACCGTGGATGAGAAGAAACTGGGGACAGTGTGAAGCTTCTTTTTCCTTGTGAGAAAACACAGTCCGCCAAAGGAAAGAA